AACTAATAATACAGTATATAACTTTAGTGTATTAACTGTTGATACTGGTGGTAGATCTAGTGAGTCTATAATACGTCAAATTATATTTAATGGTAAGCAGTAGCTTATAATGTAATATAAATTAATATTTTATGTTATTAATTATTTTTAGTTCCTGGTTATGTTGCTAATCTGATGTTAACACAAACTGATTATCCAACTGATACTAATGATACTGTTAATATCACTGTATCATGGAATCTAGTAATTGATTGTATTGTTATAATGATTATTTATTATTATCATAGCAATCACCTTCGTCGCCAATTCCTTATCCACTTTTCTATTATATCATATATAATGTTTCTGATGTACCTCAAAATACTACAGTACCACAACATATTTCTTCAAGGACTCTATCTGGTTTTACAGTAGGATCAGAATATACTGTTGGAGTAGCTGCTGTTAATCCATTAGGAACTGGTCCTACCACATCAGCTACAATAAGTTAGTTATTATTTTACCGTAAATATAAATATATAATATGTACTTTAGCTATACTTGCTACACCACCACCACCTGAAATACCTTCAACTAGTACAGTCCATTTCACTTCTTATTTTAGTTCAGGCATTAGCGCAACTCCTACTATGACTCCATCAAGCAGTATGACTCCATCAAACACTCCTACTCAAGAACCATCTCAACGTATGTAGATGTAACTATGCTCAATATTAATTATTGATTATTAATAGTTAGTGCTGGTGCTATTGCTGGTATAGTAATTGTCATCATTGGACTGGCACTGGCAGTTTCGGTTATATTAGTGATTGCTATTGTATGTTATGTTAAGAAAAAAAACGAAGACATAAAACCTTCTGTTGCTCCTCAAATGATTCAAGTAAATTTACACACGAACACAAACAGCTGCCTAGCTAAACACCATTTTTATGATCCATAGAGCTTAATATTATTGTAATTTGTTACACACAGTCACTATATTTTAAAAGGTTTACCTTTATGATGTGACAGTGTATTTTATGTTATTTTTCTCAAGAGAATAAATTAAAATAATCCATTAGCAGTTGCGCCTGCATACATATACATGTACATACATTTTAAGATTTGTTTTTGTTAGGTGTTATCTTAACCTTTTGTATAGTGTATTTTATGTTTATTGTGTTGTCTTTAACTTAATGGGAAGTTTGTAGTTTGTCAGGTATCATTATCTGCAAATATATATATACATGTACAAATAATATAATATGCTCATAATGAATGTGTGTGTGTGTGTGTGTGAGATGATGTTGCTTGTCATTATTTTGAACAATATTGTTACTATAATGACTGTGCAGCTGGTTTGGCAGGTGTTTGTGTCTGTGTGAATGCTTGCTTTTATATTAATTATTGATTTTTCTCCTTCCTCTCTTTCCCTCTTCCTTTTTTTCTTTCTCTCTCCCTCTCTCTCTTCTCAAGGCTTATAACTATGCTCAAGTAGACTACTCTGCTAAATCATCTTCCTCTACGATACAAGCTCCTCCAAAACCAGCAAAAGCAATTTCACCTGAAGCTGATAATCATGTTTTATATTCTGCCATTCAAAAATCGGCAGCATCTCATAACCCACCACCACCTCCAGAGGGTACCGAGTATGCTGATCTTGATCATAGTTCTTCGTCGTCTGGTAGACGCCACCAGAGACCCAAGGACACCAGTAATCAAGTCACGTATTCTCATGTGAGCCATCATCATGATAGACGCAGAGTGAGGGGAAGTAACCATGGAAACTATTATTAATTAATTACTGAACTACTTTGAGCTAGTATAAACACACTGTCTTGTTTTGCCTTTTATGTATGTTCTAATAATATGAGGATGATGTGTAGCGTATGCATGTAAGCTCATAATGTCCATTTGTATGTTATGGTGTGCATTATGTATTGTCGTATGCTTAGTGTCAGCTGCCCTGTACTATACAACTGGTATATCTTTGTCATTGATGGTATTATTGTGTACACAATTATGTTATTCAACTAGAAGAATGTAAAAATTTAAGGGGCTCAGCCCCTCCCCCCGAACCACGCTATTGTTTTGTACTGTATGACCTTCCTTGCTGCTGGAGAAGTTTTTGGATAGCAGTTTAGTCTTATCTTGCTGACTGTTTGCTCAATAAATGTATACACACACGAATGTGCAATGATAAGTATAATTTGCTAGTTGTTTTGTATTATC